CCCCCCCCCCCCCCCCCGTCGCAGGCTCATCACTGTCATGGGCGTCCTCAGCGGCCCCCTCCTCGGAGCATCTCCCTGGGGATCTCCTCCCCGCCTGCAACACGCCGGTGAGTGGGGCCCGGCGGCGGGGCTGGGGCTGCGGGCGCGCCAGCCTCCCCCGAGGCTGACTCCGGCTCGGCTCCCAGGGCGTCCTCTCCGGGCTGCTGGCCGGCTTGATCGTCTCGCTGTGGGTGGCCGTGGGCGCCACTCTGTACCCGCCCACCGCGAAGGCCATGGGGGTCCTGCCGTCCTCGGCCGCCGGCTGTGCGGGCCCCGCAGCCAACGCCTCCGGCCTCCCGGGCCCGCTGCTCCTCGCCAACGCCTCCAGCGGCGCCGCCAGGTGAGCGGGGAGGCTTGGCGGGAGAGTGTGGTCGGGAAGGGCCTTAAACGGAGCCCCAGATGAGGAGCCGGAGCCGGCTGGGTAAGAGGGGAGGAAAGGCGTTCCCAGCTGAGGGAGCAGGGATCCCAGGTTCAGATGAGTGCCCTGGCGGCGGTGAGGTTGGAGTGGACTTAATTTAAAAAAAACACAAGCCCTGGCCGGTTTGGCTCAGTGGATAGAGCGTCGGCCTGTGGACTGAAGGGTCCCAGGTTCGATTCTGGTCAGGGGCATGTGCCTTGGTTGCGGGCACATCCCCAGTAGGAGGTGTGCAGGAGGCAGCTGATCGATGTTTCTCTCCCATCGATGTTTCAAGCTCTCTATCGCTCTCCCTTCCTCTCTGTAAAAAATCAATAAAATAAATTAAAAAACAAAACAGCCCTAGCCGGTTTGGCTCAGTGAATAGAGCGTCAGCCTGTGGACTCAGGGGTCCCAGGTTCGATTCCGGTCAGGGGCATGTACCTTGGTTGCGGGCACATCCCCAGTAGGGGGTGTGCAGGAGGCAGCTGATCGATGTTTTCTCTCATTGATGTTTCTAACTCTCTATCCCTCTCCCTTAACTCTCTGTAAAAAATCAATAAAATATATTTAAAAAAA